TATCTATCTATCTATCTATCTATCTATCTATCTATCTATCTATCTATTTATCTATCTATCTATCTATCTGTTATTAATCACAAACATGGCAAAAAATTTAAGCAACAGCCTCAAAATCATTGTCTGTACTATATATATATATATACTATTATTGTACTATAAATCTGGCTATTCAAAATGGCAACATTCACTGCTACTCAGCAACAATTTTAATTATTTAATTAAATCCAGCGGACAGTTTTACTTGGAGAAAATCATTTATGATTTGTGTCATCTAAAAAACTATAGTTTCGATAAATGCATAAATACATAGAAATGTCTTGGTATACTGGGGGTTATAAATATGCATTGCTTATCCGTTAAAGGTCAGCTTTTAATTACTTACTTATTTTTAATTACATTAAGTATACAAATGTGACCTGGACCCAGCAGGGCTTTGAGCTGCTAGGTCTAACATATGCTGTGGCTTTCTTGCATGCTACACATCAGTGTTTAAAAGGTAGGCCAGTGTGGTTTTCCAGGATAGTAAGTAAAAAAAGTAACATATCCAAGGTTTAACCTTGAAATATGATGTAAAGTCTCAAATTCCAAATGTTGGCCTTTACTCTCTTTTCAAATTTTGATGATAGATCACAGGCTGAACTACGGAGACAATGTGATATAGGTTGCCCAGCACATAGCAAGTCCCGTTTTAATGTTGTTGTTACTCTAAATAAGGCTTCTGGCTACAAAAGGGAAAGCCTGTTTTATGGTCACCACTGGTGACTGACATGCATAATGTCAGGAAAATGTAAATGTCATTAACAGATTAAATATTAAATAAGGACCTACTCTCACTTCTCCAGAGGTATCTATTTCCAATTTATTGCAAAATCAAATACATTTATTTATTCATTAATTTACATGATTGTCTGTTTTTATCAGAATACCCTATATTGGTATTTAAGAAGTAAAAACTTACCCCAAAGAAGGATTGACTTGATTGAATTGTAGCATGCACTTCAATTCAATTTCAGACAGTCATTCTTACTGTACATACATTCCATTATGCCTAATATTTTTTGGCTCAGCATAGGCTGTGTGGCACTACCAGGATTGACTAGGCTAACATGCTGTAGAAGTGAGTCCATGCTGTCACTGTAGCAGCTAAAGGAAGCAGTCATGTCAGCTACAAGAGTCGGATAAGACTTTGTAATACTGTTCAGATTTCTCAGGCAATTTAAAAATCATGTCTACAACAAGAAAAAAAACAACTTTTTAGCTGCATGACTGCTATTCCCACAACAACTGGATATAAAAGCTGATTTTTATCAGTGTTGTCTGAGAGCTCATTAAAGTTTGATCCTCCATTAGCTCCTCTTTCCGTGGAGCAGATATATTTGAAGATTAGAGGAGGCAGTCTCTTGGCTTTT